GGCGTCGGCGGCGGCCGTGGCAACCGCGGCTGGGGCGGCGGCGGCGGCGCGGGCGGCGGAGGCGAGGTACTCTGGCGCGCGGCCGATGGCTCCTGGATGTGCAAGAGGCGGAGGGGCGAGCGGTCACGACCAGGCAGGGCTGAGAGCACTGCTGTCCGCCGCGGCGCGGTGTAATATGTGTGTGTGTGTGTGTGGGGGGGGGGTGTTGAGACACAGGCGCCGATGCCCGAGTTTCAGGAAACCTGTCCAACGCCATGGAGCTGTTCCCTTGGCTGCGGTGCAGTGACGGCGGCGCGCGCACGCTGTGCTGGCCCCATATCGAGCACGGACTGCTGCTGGTTATGGTTTCCAAGCGATGCCTCACCCTCGGTTCTGACGCTCGTGCCGCCCTCTGCAGCGGCCCCCGCCTCGGCCCCCGGCTCGGCCGCCCCTCGCCCCTCACCCGCGCGCGCCGCCCCCTCTCGCGCCGGCACCTCCTCGTCCCCCGCCGCCGCGGCCGCGGCCGGCGCGGGAGTTGTCGGCGCCTCGACCTCCTCTTCGGCCCAAGGCTCGCTGGCGCCTGGCGGCGGCGGTGCCGAGGCGGGGCCTGGCCCCTGCTCCTGGCGCTCCTCGGGCACCTTGGGTGGTGCCGTTTCGGGCTGTGGCGCAGCCGGCTGTGGCGCAGCCGGCTGTGGCGCAGCCGGCTGCGGCTGCGGCCTTGACGCCGGCGCAACCGCGGGCGCCGCAGCGGCGTCGGCGGCGCTGCTGAGCTCAGGGCTTGGCGCAGCGGCGGGGGCTTGCTTGCTGGCAGCGCTGGATGGCTGCTGAAGCACACCGTGTTTGTGTGTGAGGGGGGGGGAGAGGGAGCGAGCTGATGCGAAACTGCACCGGCATGTCGCAACGACGCTCATGCCAGGCAGCGCCGGCTACCAGCGGCCTAGTCCAAGCTTGGCACACGCGTGTGGGTGGGCGTCTTTTGCGACTCACGGGCTCGGCTTGCGCGGTCTCCTTGAACGAGGTCGGCTGGCTCAGGGCGCCCGACGTGCCCCTTGAGCGGTGCCCGCCGCCCCCGTCCTTGGCCTTGCCCGAGCGCTTGGGAGGCATGTAAAGATTGACGATACCTGCCACAAGTTTGTTTCCTGCTGAGCGGGACAGGCCTTGTGATGCGCTGCTGCCGGAGATCAATGAGGACGTCAGAGACTGTGCGAGTTGCCGACTCTGACGAGGCACAAAATGATGACATAGGAAGGAGTTGAATTTATATAACAATGTCGTTGACGTAATTCAAGACGAACGGCCAAAACTATTGGGAAACTGGTGATCAACCGCCTGCTTGCACCACACCCAGCACATTGTAGCATATTCATATCCATATCTGTTTCATGATCACGCAGAAGTGCATAAGGGCCGACCACCGGCATCGTTTATATTGCAGCAGCGCCCTTCCAGCTCAAACCACAGGGCCTACAAGCATGGCAAAGCTCCCAAAGCGTGTACTCGGCTCAACCGGATTGCAAGTATCAGTGCTCGGCTTTGGCGCGTCGCCGCTGGGCAGCGTGTTTGAGGTGACGAGCTGCGCAAGCGGCGGCCATGGTTGCCAGGATGTATGCGGTCAGACCTGCAGGAAACAATCCCCATTGCAGCCGCATGTGTGGGATGAATGCAGAATGCAGCAATGCCTGCCAGACTTGGCTGCATATATGCTTGCTTGGGCTTGGGCGGGCAAAGCATTGCCAGGATGCCTCGCGCCGATCACAGTTGGGCCGGCGTTGCCAGCGCAGGCGCCATCAGAGAGGCGCCCGCCAGCCCCGAGCCAGACAAAACTCGAAAAGCACCGCCTGCCTCAAGCTCGGTGCAAATGATGCGTTGCGCCGCTCGACGCCGCGGCATGTTGCGGAGACGCAGAGCGGCGCCTGGCACACCTGCTGCTGCGTCCCAGAGCTGACTCACGTGATGCGCAGCGTTAACTCCGCTCATTTGCCTCTCAATTACAGGACATCAACGAAGCAGAGGGCATCGCGTCTGTTCACGAGGCGTTCCGCCTGGGCATCAATTTCTTCGACACCTCCCCTTTTTACGGCGCCACAAAGTCTGAGACGGTGCGCGCGCGCGGCGCCAGGCGCGAGCAGGGGCACGAAGCGCCCCGGCCGCGGCTGCAGCGCGCTGATGCGGGGGCTCCTTGCGGCGTCGGGCGCGGCGCGGCTCGCGGAGGCGCGGCTGCAGCTCGTCAGGCGATGCACTCACACAGACGGGAGCAGGGACCAAAGGGCGCAGCTGCCCGCTGCTCCAGGTGTGGCTGGTTGCGTGTTGGCCAGCGCGGCCCCTGCGGCGAGCAGCGGCGCCGCCATGCGGTCGGCAGCCTCCGTGCTGCTCACACCTGCCTCTGCGTTGTTGACACTGCATGATGTCATCACAGGTCCTGGGCAAGGCTCTGAAGGATCTGCCCAGGGACGAGATTGTGGTGGCCAGCAAGGTGGGTTGCAGCTGTGCTCTTGGAGGGCAGGGCGCAACATTCGAGAGATCAGAGCGAAGGGCGATGCTGCCAACGTGCAGAGGGCGGGCGACGTTCTTGCGACCTCATGCGTCGCAATGCTTGCGGAGCTCCGCAGCACCCTGTGGTTTATTGTTGAGCTGTGCACCCCGTCATTTCAGCCGGTTGAAGCCCTCATTCCGTCTGCATCCTTTTAGCTGAACTGCATCAACACACACACTGGAGTACAACACACGCACAACATACACGGTGCACGAAAAGCACACAAAGAACACAAAGCACAAACTCAAAGCTAACATTTAAACAACCCACGCGCACCCAAACACATATCACACAGCACGCCCAAGTTGCGTCACACACACACAGAGCGCCCACGCACACCCCTGCACGTCACCCCCCTTGTTTCCCCAGGTCGGCCGCTACGGCCCCGAGCTCTTTGACTTCAGCGCGGAGCGCGTGACGGCCAGCGTGACAGAGAGCCTGGCGCGGCTGCAGGTGCCCTACATCGACCTCATCCAGTGCCACGACATTGAATTCGGGGACCTAGACCAGGTGGGGTGTGGGTTGTGGGTGGGTGTGAGTGGGTGGTTGGGTGGCTGGGTGGCTGGGTGGCTGGCTGGGTGACAGCCTATGGGGCTGCCAGAGGGCCAGGCAGCGAGCAGGCGGGTACTGGTGGGGGTCGTTTGACTTGCAGGAGTTGAGGGAATTGCACATCTTGCAAGCTGGTCTCGCTCGAAGTTTCTCGTCCCGCACGCCGGCACGTGTGACACGCACACGCACTTCACACACACACACACACACGCGCGCGCGAGTGCGCGCGCCGTGTGCGTGCACACACGGGTCACATACGGGAAACACACCCACACTGCCACCCGCCGCCCGCCCCCCGCCCCCCAGATCGTCAACGAGACGCTGCCGGCCCTGGCCGCCCTCAAGGCCCGCGGCCTCGTGCGCTTCGTCGGCATCACGGGCCTGCCCCTGGGAATATTCCCCTACGTCCTCGACAGGGCGCCCCCCGGCTCTGTCGACGTCGCCCTGTCCTACTGCCACTACTCACTGAATGACTCATCGCTGTCTCAGCTGGTCCCTTATCTGCAGTCAAAGGGTGTGGGCGTGATCAGCGCATCCCCCTTGTCCATGGGGCTGCTGACGAGGCGGGGGC